AATAATAATAAACCAGAAATTCCATTACATATTGTCCCTCAGGTGGGTCATCAGCAGAGTTGGAATCTTTAGAATCACAGCATAAATCTCCACCACTTAAACTAATAATACAGCTGGTAGCAATAATAGGCTGCTATTCTCTGTGGACCAAGACTCTAGGAGGGGATGAGACACATTTTGCCCATGGTTTTCACAGATATTTGCTGACAGCAAAAGGGGTGTTGAGATTCAGGAATTTTGGATACTATTATTATTCTGGAGGAGAATGTGCTCCATTCATGACAGACCTTTCTGCTTCTATCTCCCACAGCCTGACCCCTTCTGTCCTTATTTCCTAGCACATCTCTACCCCTATCCACATCCCTGTCCTTTTCTGTTTCTATTCTCCCTGCTTCTATTCCCCTCTGCCCCGTCTCCAATCTCAGCCTGTTCTTTCCTCCCACTGCCACAGGGGAGCTCAGCAGCTGGAGGGAGAAGTTGTCAGAAAAGTCCTGTTCAACCATAGGCTGACATATACTCAGTGGACTCTGTAGGGGTGAAATATGCTCAGTGTGTTTGTCAAGGAGCTCTGGCAGGCAGGGAGTTTAGATGAATTGTTTAGAGAATTTTTCTGCTAGGTTCTAACAATCCTCTTCTATGCAAGGGCAAACAGCTGTTTTAAAAGGTTTATAATTTGGCTGAATTTGGGTGGATTTTCATGAGAACCAGAAAAGTCACCTCTGACTACAGTGTGACTGCCATGCAAATTTTCAAGTATAGTTGTGATAAAGTTCATCTATAAAATGTTCGTATGAGTTATTTAACATTGGGAAGGAATTATATTTTCCCCCCAACCTCATTCCTGGAAATGTCTAAATAGTTTTTGCTGAAAATTTCCTAAATGAAGTTCACCTGTGGCAGACAAACCGGATGAGACATTTCAGCCTGACCACTTAAAGTTGGGCAAAGTTTTAAGCAACTGAAAACAGGGTCTTATAATGGAAAATGTTCAGCAACATTAACTGTAGGCATTGCTACCAATTCTACGTATAAAGAAAGGCTCTTACTCTGTAAAGGAACTACAGTTCTTTGAGAGGTATTGTCCCAGTCTGTATTCCCTGTGGGTATGCATGCAATCCATGTGCCTGAGACCAGAAGATGTTTGCTAGCAATACCTTTTGGTCTGCACCAGAGCATTTCCTTTCCTTGTGCACTGAAATGAGTGTATGAGGACCTTTGTGAATCACCAATCTGTAAGAGACCAGGGCATAGGCAGTCTTGCTTATTTGTCACTGCTGGGGGGGAGGGGGTATTGCAAAGTCAAGGATGGCCATGAGCTAATAGCCAGGGACAGTGGTCAGAATAATTGCTTAAGCCAGAATCAATAGACAAGAGTCAGGATCAGAGTCAGTCCAAGGTCGGAAAACGAAGATCAGGAGTAGTTATCAAGCTTAAGTCAGGAGGCAAGAATCTGGGTGAGAGTCGGGTCAGGATCAGAGACTGGTGATCACAAGGCAAGGCTTGGAGCAACAACAACCCAGAAGTTGGCATCGTTAGCCAGACAGCTTCCTGGGGCACCCTCCAAAGTTAAATAGTAAGCATGGGCCAATCAGAGGGCTGCAGGGTGCTCTATGGTATCTACTCTCAATAGTGATCTTTGGCTGCCACATCCTGGTGGCATCAGTTGCTCCAGGCACTGCAGACCTATGTTCTAGTCCCACATCTAGAGCCCCGTATTTCCAGTTGATTCCCTACTGTGAATCACAAGTAAAGGATCAAAAGCGGAGGGGAAGGAAGCTGGGTGGCAGAATACAGATACAGACCACGCATCTCAAAGAACTTCAGATACTATACAAGGTCCACAATTCCTATTTTTTCTTGGAGTTTTTGTCCCTCGGTGTACTCCACTATTGGAGTCTCACAAACAGTACTCACTGAGGAGGTGGGTGTGAGGATCTATGCGGACTGAAGAGCTGGTGAACCAAAGGATGCATCGGCTTTGCAACATTTCCCTAGGACACAATGTCTTGTGAAGGTATGCATAGAACCCCATGTCACCACTTTACAGATGTCAATGAGTGGAACTTCTCAAAGCAAAGCTACTGAAGCTGTCTTACCTGTGGTAGAGTGGGACCTTGTTACCCCAAAATTTGGATCCAAAGCATGCGAATACTGGCTTAGCTATCACTATAAACCACTTGCAATTTGTTCTGCCCAAATTGGTAACAAGGAGTTGCCTGCCCTAGAAGAATTGCTAGGGTTTTACCAGGGGGCTTGTTTCTGACCCAAAGAGAACTCCCCAGAGCAGACCAGTTCTGCTAACACGTGAGAGGACACAGACATAGCCCTTCACTTAAAAGATTGATATTCAAGCAGTAATCTTTGAAAACAAAGTACCATTTTATTTAGAAGAAATAATCAGTTACAATACACTCAATAAAGCAAGAAAGAATGTACAATAATGTATAAGATAATGAAACACAATTGCATTGTGTTTATGCATCCTAAGATTACATTAGCCTTTTTCATGGCCACATCATATTGATGACTCATAGGCATCCCGTGATCAACCAATACACCCAGGTCTTTCTCCTCCTCTGTCACTTCTAGCTCAAATTCCTAGCTTAAACCAAAAATTCTTGTTGTTAGTCCCTCAGTGCATGACCTTCTACTTTGCACTATTACATTTTATCCCATTTCTATTATTCCAGTTTTCAAGATCATCCAGATGTTCTTGTGTGATATTCCAGTTTTCCTCCATATTGGCAATACCTCCCAAATTTGTGTCATCTGCAAATTTTATTAGCACACTCCTACTTTTTGTGCCAAGGTCATTTGGTGAAGAAATAGGTCAACTGTCACATCCAGGAAAATAATTATTAGTAGCATTTGTCCTCAAATGTATATCTGGGAAGTTAGTCTCCTATAATAACACAATTCCCAGTTTGTTTTTATTTCATTAAAACATTAAAGATGTTTCTGTCCATATCCAGATCAGATCCTGGGGGTCTGTATTATATCCCAAGCAGAAAAGTAACAGAAGTCCAAGACTTTGCAGGTTGGCCTTGCTGGAACATGAATCTGTAATGCAGAAACAAGGTATCTTCTATATGTGATACATTTTATTTACATACATCACCAAGTCCTGAAACAATGGTGATCAAAAGGCAGGCAGACAATCCTTCCTTTCAAGAATCTCAGCCCAACATCAATCTTGGTTTCCAGGAGCAGCTCTGCCATCAGGAATTTATTGTAACTGGACACAAAGGCAGAGCACAAATTTTCTTGCTGCTCGCACAGCTCACTGTAAACATAAGCTTGCTTAACTAATACATCATGCCTTCCCAAGATTAAACATTTGTTTACATACTAAGAAAAAGAAGAGGGAAGACTAGGTATAGCACCACCGCCTGGTGACACTCCTCATAACTATATCAAACCCTTGCAGAGTAAGGAATGTTCCTTTATTAGCCTGAAGGAATGGACTGAACCAGAAAGTTTGGACATAGATTTCCTATAGATCAAAATGTTATAGATGTTTGGCTCCATCAGACCCATCTCTGTTAATACACCACAGTATAATTGCCAATAACCTACCAATGCATCCCTTCATAAAAGGACATATAACATTTTTGAACATGATAATAACAGTATGCAATATATTCAATAGTAATATTCATATCTTCTTTAAGAAAAATTTTTAAAAAACTTGCAGTGCAGTAAATGACACACAAGGACAAATGTAAAGGAATTATCCTTGACTGTCTTGTATCTACTGGACAAAAATAAGCATTAGTGATTTATGATAAGAGGAATAATGACTTTATTAAAAGGCTTGTTCAAGCTCATTTTTCAAAAAAATATATATACTACATGGGATCATTTTCATTTATTACTGATTTTTAATGCTTCAAATGTGCCATGCAACACACATCATTTGCTTATCTCATTAAAATTCCCTCCACAACAAGAAAACATTAGGTCATCAACCTATGATCACAAATTCCATAAGCCAAATGAGCAAAAATAAAATTAGGAGGATGAGAAAGAAAATATCCTATTAGATGAGCTTTACGACTGGTGTATGGAATATTTTAAAATGGTCAGCTGTTTAAATACACTTCTCAGTGCCCACTTATTTATGGTGGCTGTGAAAACTTTTGTTTCTATGTCTGTCTAGCAATCAAACCTGTGTGCTGCATAGCTTAGATCTAACTGATTAATGGTTTAATCCTCCATTCCTTTCTCAACTAAAACTTCCATTAATGGCAAGTGTTTACATTTTCATAAGGTCATAAGATATTAATAATAGTAACTAAATTGACTCTGAGGCCCTGATCTTGCAAACATGTGCTTAACTTTATGTCTGTGAATAGTCCCAATGATCTCAAATAATTTGCAGTGACATTCATTAATTGCCATTAAAATTCTGACATTCACTATTTAAAACTAGTTAATGCTGTTATGGGCTGCCATTCTTAGCATTCCAAAAGTTTGGATGTTTCCTTCTCTTGATCTCTCAGTCCATGGATTGGCCAGTTCTTTGATACTGGAAAAAGACTCAGCTCCCGGCAGAAGATAATACATCATCATTAGAGGCGGGCAAAAGATTTTGATCAAATAATTAACTTGTCAAAAAATGCAACTTTAGGGCAACTGAAACTATTCATGAATTTGGGTTGAATTTAGTGGAGAGTTTCAGCCAAATAACGAAATGAAATTATTTTTCTGAAAAAGTCAAAAGGGTTCATTTTCTAAAGGAAACATTTTTACTTTTTTTTTTTCAAATGACGTTTTGTTTCCAAATTTAGCCAGTGTTGTATTATTTATTTTTGTTAAGAGAAAACCCCCACCAAATCTTGAAGATGTTACAAAATGAATAAAAAACAAACAAACAAATGTTCTGGGTCAAACTAAATGTTTTGTTTGACATGAAACAATTATTTATCCTGTTTTATTCCCCCCACCCTCTTCATTGAATGTAACCAAAACCGCAAAATTGTTTGTTTTTTATTTTTCAGCCTGGGCACCAAACCAGAAGAATCAATTACTTACCCAAGTCTACTCACTGTGACTATTTATTTATCACATCTGCACATCTACCTGCTCCACCCATGAAGCTCCTATGGCAGGATCTGAGCCTTAATCATTAAACCTCAAATATTAACCAGTCCACTAAGTTCACCTTTCATCATGGAATCTCCAGCGATGTAAAGCTGTCAGAAATGTCATAAGCACTTCTGTGTCAGGCTGCGCCACCCCCCAAAGGGGCATGTCAATGGTGGGCTGAGGGCATGACCCAAGGGACAAGAGTGGGTGTGGTGGAGCCAAGCTCCACTATTGGCTAGTCACTGTTTTTTTGAAGCTTATCCCAGCACTAGAGGATATGTCTTAACTGTGTTTAGTAAAGTGTCATGTATAAATATGGTGCTGAATAAATGTTTTAAGATGATCCTATAGCTCAGTGTGACCCCATTAGTGCCGATAAAGCAGTGTTATGTTCATAATCCACAGGGAATTGCATTCAGTTCATCAACTAGTCAGATGGTCGTAATGCTAATGCTGAATCTTAAGAAAAGGAGAGGTATACAATAAAGGAAATATCAGGGATGCATTGGACCTCCTGCTTCGAAAATGAAAGAAACATATTCAATCCTGCATGAAGGCCTACTTTCTATCTAGAGGTGCCTTTATGGCTCTCAACACCATATTGTTTGTGCACTGTGTTAGTAGCTGGGACCCGGCTTCAGCAAAGCATTTGAGTGCTTTGATGAATTGAGGCTTGAGTGCCTGGTAACCCCTATCAGTGAACACTTTAAAGCATTTCCAAACTTTCCGGTACAATACAGGTCAACTTCTAGCCAGCCAAGTCACGGGTTTTTATTGAGCCATTCAGTGGTCATTTCAGGCAGCTTTTACTGTAAATAAAAATGAGAGAGAGAGAAAACACAATGTTCATTGAACCAAACAGCCACATCCAAATCCAGGCTTGCCCTCAAAGCAGTTTTCTCCTTCAGCATTAAAATCTATACAGCGCATAATCCTGAGGAGTTTGAATTGTGCACCACTTTCCAAAGTAATGAAGCAATAAGCCTTAATGAAATAACATCTTCACAGTACACAGTTAGCTCCTTTGCCAGTGCTATTTCTTTTCAATTTTGAAGCCTAGAAAACACAAATAGAATATCCTGGGTATCACAATAGTTATATAGTTACAACTGAAAGGAATAATGTACAGTAGTTTTTATTTATCCTGATAAAATAGAATATGAGGCCTGCTGTAAATGGGACATCTCATTAGTTTTTCATTCAAAGGAACACATTTTAGACCTTTATAAGAGTAGATTGGTCTAAAAAGCCTGTTACACAAATCCATGAAAATATTTTCCAAAGAATTATAGAGCTTGTAAATAATGGGTGAAAAGTTGTTTTTTTAATATGTATTCAACATAATAAATGGAAAATATGTTATGCCTTTCAGAAGAGCTATGAGTGCAGTTTGATTTTGTGGTGCAGGAGAAGAAGGGGAAGTTAACTGCATGTTTAGATATTCCAGTGAATGCAGGTCCTCATGCCACAAAGCAATGAGGCAAAATCAAGCAAAATTATGCCACTATTGAGAAGTAATAGTTCTAACACAGAAGGAAAGACAGAAAGAAAAGGAGAGCAACAAAGTCCCTGTGGTGTTCTGTTGTTGTTGATTAGTGTCTATCTATATATCTATATATCTATATATATAATGATAAATAATACCTAGCCTTTATATTTTATGTATAATATACACAATTCGTTTTGTGAATTTACTGCTCTCCAAGTTTCAGTGGTCCATTGCCATTCACCGTGGTCATTTGTATTTGCAGTGTGTATCTGTGTGTAGTAGGGAAGGGAGCATAGATATTCTTAGAATAATGTCTGTCAGGAGTCTGGGGTACATTTCAACAGTTATGTCCCTCTGTTGTAGTAATTAAGCACTGTCCTCTTTGCAGTGGCCTTTGCTGGACATTAGTGCACATAATGCACAATTAGAGCTGGGTGATTTTTTTATTATTTTAAAATATTTTTACAAATAGTAAATTCATTTAAAAATCATTTTTAGGGACACCTGAACTATTTGCAAAATTTAGGTCAAATTCAATACAAAGTTTTGAGTGGGGGGAAAAATGAAAATAAACATTTTGGAAATGTCTAAACAGTTTGTTTAGACAAAAATAAACATGAACTATTTTGAAAATGTCAATTTGACATTTCAAAATAAATGTCAATTCAAATCAACATTCAAAACATTTAGCTTTGACTAATATTTTTTTTTCTTTTCAGTTTTTCATTTGGGTGCAAAGAAACAAACGGAGAAACAACAACAAAATCACTTTCAATTGGAAACCATCTGATTTTTTTTTCCAGATTCTTTAGTTTGGCCACTGAACTGAAAAATCAATTATTCACTCAGCTTTAATCACAATATGACAATTTTTCTAAGCTGACAATGGCAATCTACTGCAAAGACACAGCAGGGGTTTATGGGCAAAGTGACTGATTAAAGCAGAATGTGTACTATGTCTGCTGCTGGTCAAAGTGGTCATTTTGTCACAGACATTAATGTCCACTACAGACCCAAACTTCATGTTCCATGAACATTTGTATGAACAGAACATTGCTCGCAAGAACCTTCACAAAACCTAATGCTAAAGGGGTATGAAAAATATAAATTGAAATGTCAATGCATGTGTACGCTCCTTGATTCACATGCAAGTATAGGTATGTGTGCCTGCGAATCAGGGCTAATTTCTGCATCAGAGGTGAGTGAAGGCACTTTAGGAAACCTTACCCTCTGTATCTAATATGTTACAACAGCCCTAAACAGTTTCAGAAATCAGTGGCATGTATTGACAGGATGACACTAAAATGTGGTTGTGTGTTTGGTTGGTTGGTTGGGTTTTTGTTTTGTTTTTTGTTTTTCCATGTTTGAGTCATCATCTCTCCATTATCAAGTATCAGGGGGTAGCCGTGTTAGTCTGTATCCACAAAAACAACAGGGAGTCCGGTGACACCTTAAAGACTAACAGATTTATTTGGGCATAAGCTTTCGTGGGTAAAAAACCACTTTTTCAGATGCATGGAGTGAAAATTACAGATGCGGGCATTATATAATAACACATGAAGAGAGGGGAGTTACCTTACAAGTGGAAAACCAGTGTTGACAGGGTCAATTCGATCAGGGTGGATGTGGTCCACTCCCAATAATAGATGAGGAGGTGTCAATTCTAGGAGAGGCAAAGATGCTTTTGTAATGAGCCAGCCACTCCCAGTCCCTATTCAAGCCCAAATTAATGGTGTTAAATTTGCAAATGAATTTTAGTTCTGCTGTTTATCTTTGAAGTCTGTTTTTTAAGTTTTTTTGTTCAAGTATAGCTACTTTTAAATCTGTTATAGAGTGTCCAGGAAGATTGAAGTGTTCTCCTACTGGATTTTGTATGTTACTGTTGGTGTTACTAGGCATCACCCTAGGTAACTCGGGGAGTTGGAAGACCCGAGAGTCGATTGAAGCCCACCCACTCTAGGCCAAAGTGAATCAAAGCCCCTGCATGTTAAACTTTACTAACCTCACAGGCCAGCAGCTGGGAAGCAGTAGTGATAAGGGAAACCTTCATGCTTCTAGCTAAAGAACAAGATTACTTGCAGAAAGAAACAGTGAGAACAAGCTGCACAGCCAAGGTTGTGTAATGTAACCAGAGGGAGAAAGGAGGAGAGGTGGGAATGGAGGAGGGGGGGGAGAAAGGGTGGGGGAAGAAGAGAAAGGCTTGCTGCAAACTGTATAAAAGATAAATGCCGCTTATGTTGGTGTGCTTGATTTGAGACGTGCCTGTCTCTTTGCACCACTTTGAGATCTCAAATAAACTTTGTTTGCTTCTCCACGCTGGTGTGTTCATTGGCGCGAAGCACCCCGGGCAACGAACCCCACTGTTGCTATCCTTGGGCACTCTGTGCCAGCAACATTACCATTCCTGATGTCCAATTTGTGTCCATTTATTCTTTTACGTAGGGACTGTCCGGTTTGGCCAATGCACATGGCAGAGGGGCATTGATGGCACATGATAGCATATATAACATTAGTAGACATGCAGGTGAATGAGCCCCTGATGGTTGGCTGATGTGGTTGAGTCCTCTGATGGTGTCACTAGAGTAGATATGGGGACAGAGTAGGCAACGAGGTTTCCTACAGGGATTGGTTCCTGGTTTAGTGTTTCTGTGGTGTGGTGTGTAGTTGCTGGTGAGTATTTGCTTCAGGTTGGGGGCTGTCTATAAGCAAGGGCTAGCCTGCCTGCCTCTCAAGATCTTTGAGAGTGAGGGATCATTTTCCAGGATAGGCTGTAGATCGTTGGTAATGTGATGGAGAGGTTCTAGCTGGGGGCTGTATGTGATGGCCAGTGGTGTTCTGTTATTTTCCTTGTTGGGCCTGTCCTGTAATAAGTGATTTCTGGGTACCCGCCTCGCTCTGTCAATCTGTTTCCTCACTTCCCCAGGTGGGTATCGTAGTTAATGTTTTTATATTCTTAATAATCCTAAAAATGTTTTTCTTTTGTGTGCTCTCCTTGATTTACAGAGCTGAATGGGCACAACATGGGGCATTGTGGATCCTCAAAAGAAAACAATACAATAAATCTGCTGTTTTATTTCAAACAAAAGGCTAGACGTCCCAAGAACTACTTTTCCTTTTCATTGCTCAGACACCTGATTGCTTTATTAATGGTTGCACAGTGTGTTTGTTTTCAACAGGAAGCACTATTCCACCTGCAAGCCCAGTGTTTATCTATTAACTGAGATATTTCCTGTGCTTCTGGCTTTCAGTGAAGATTGTATGTCAAGAGATGTCTGGGCTCTTAAAGCAACATTTGATCATTGCAAATATGCATTGAAAAGAATTGAGTCCACAAATGCTTTCTTGAACTAGAACACAGATAGGGATCATGCAATTCACAGAAGAGGCAGCAGGTGAGGACACATTCTACTACTGTACAGAGATACATTACCACCACTCAAAACACCATTTTTTGATTGAGCAAATATATGGCTACTACCTCTTTCAGCCTGTTTTAGGCTTACATTCAGGCAACCAATTTTACCAAATTCTAATGTAAGGGATATCATGTTGCTAAGAGCACCAAAAAATACAGAATTGGATCCAAAACCTGCCAGTAGAAAGCCCTGCGTTTGAAGTCATCATGTATACCAAGAATAGATACAGCACAGACTGTAGCTGTACAATCTCCCAACACTACTGCTCTCATGTGCCAAACCCTGTTCTGAACGGGCCATCTCAAGTGTTGAAATCTTCATCTTAATTCAGTTTTTAGCCTCTCTCTAGTCTCTACTGAAACCTTCAATAAGTGTGATAATTAGTACCGACAGTGATGGCATTTTTTTGTAATGCAGATATATTTTTTGTAATGTATTCTAGCAACTGAAATGAGACCACTAGTTCATTAAACATAGGCCTTCCTATAATAATATTGCAATGAAAATGTTCATGTGCCCCTCTGCATAGCAACTACTTCACAATATAGTAATCATCTAACTCCTTCCGTTTGCTTCTGTTGTAGAAGATAGACACAGGAAAGAGAGAGGTTCCAACAGCAGATGAAAATAAAGGACTAGAGGGTGTTCGTGTTTTATATCTGTTTTTGAACCAAAGAACTGTAGAATGTGAGGAAACAATAGAGGAAAATGAACAGTCCGAGCCATTGTCTAAGGTGTTGGCGTAAACTGACTAACCTTTAAGATGGCTGACTCTCCAAATGTTAATCAGTGACCATTGTCCAACTTACATGTCAAAAAAGTTTGACTCAAGCTGCTAAAATGCAAAATAAAAATTGAAAATAAACTGATGGGAAAGGACTGATCAAGGGGTTCAGAGTTCTCTTTAGGAACAGAAGTGTGAGGAGGGTGTCCCAGGATTAATATACACATGTCTGAAGACTGAACAATGTAGGTAAGACTGGGATTTGTGCTGTGAGGATTAATGTTTCATTCAGCACTACACAAAAGTGTTATCCTGCACCTGCAGCATATTAAGACCTAGATTATTTAGTCTCACCTGGCTCAAAATCATTTTTTTAAAAAAATTTAGCTTCAGTATTTTAATTTCTCAGTGAAATTCTTTCTTGTCTGATACAAATAGTGTTGATCTTTGGCTTAATGGCTTATAAAAATAGCTCCTATATCCTTATTTGTTCTCCCCGAATCCTTCTCAGGGAGATAAAAAAACAGCAGAAGCAGCTTGCCTAAGAAAAACTACTGAATTATTAGGCTGTAGTGATTTACAGTGGGGGATGTAACTTGTTAATGCTCCCATACCATATACAGGGGAATGTCTTTATACATATTCTTATCTGCTTTTAGGTGACTCCTTATGAACCTTTATGACTAGTTTTGAATCACTATTATGCACACCAACACCAGACCCATAACTAGAAATCAACAGCATGTGTTACATTCTCCCTTCCAGGGCAGGTCACACACAAGGGGCAGCTACACTATGTTTTCCAACGTGTGTCATTTCCTCTCAATTCACTCAATTTGGGGAGGGGTGTTCCTCTCCTTCTGTGGCACGGACAGGTGATCAGCCTCCTTAAATCTGTGGCTGTATTAAGATATGTATTGAACTGGGACAACATCATAGTCCCAGGGCAATCCATGTGTAACAAGGCATGGGGCCGTGGAATACAAGTATGATTCCCAGTGCACTTGCTATGGCCTTGGGCTGTTTCAAACTGGGAACATGGCTGAAGGGCCCATGATTAGGCCACAAGCATGTTATCTACAAGAAGCCAGGTGTAAGATATTCTGCCTTTTAGGCAGGGGCAGCAGATGGGAGAGACCCAGGATCAGGGAAGTCCTAGTTTGGGTAACTCCATTATAGCTAGGAAGTGTTATTAAAGGAAGAGTGAGTCCTCTCCCCTCCCAGTTGGAAGAAACCAGGAAAGCCTTGGGTGGCTAGTACTCCATATTTTGAGTCTCTCTGCCCTTGCTTTGGAACTCTTGATGAAAATAAAGTCAGTCCCAAGGAAAGGGCCCTGGACTAGATGATCATGGGGCACTTTGTTTTACCTTCTTGGCTGCTGAGTTTACATCATGTTAAAGCCCTGGGCATCAGTGCTGCTTCAGTCCTAAGGGAAAGAGAGCTCCTGTTACACTGCCCAGCAGCTCGCACTGGCTACAGCTCGCAAATCTGCCTCCTCCTGGGTGGGAAAGGATATTAGCTAGTGTCGAGAATCACTGGAGTTGAAGGGGGATGAGGATATGTAGAATAACTCTCTTTTTGCCCTTCCCCCATGTGTTAGGATGAGGTTTATTTTAGTCATTTGCTGCAGTAGACAATTCTGTGAACCCAGAAGAGATTGCTGACCTTCCTGTTTCTCTTTCAGCTCTGGCAAGAAGCTGCCTGCAGCATGTTTGTATGCTAGCTGCATGTTCCTCAGTAAACTCCAGACACTATTGCTTTTTAAGTCTGCCTCTGCTGGTTGCTATTACACCCTGCTCCAGGGCTCAAGCCAGAACATAACACTCTTCATACTGCACCTGACAGATAAACTTACATTAAAATGGAGGATCACGGAGGACCTACTGTGGAACCCCTTACATGCCCTTCAGTCCAAATCCACTTGATGAGGTTCCCCGCTACTCATGAAAATAGAGGGGATGTTTGGGACAAAAGTATTATCACATAGTTCACTCCCAGCCTGCTGCTTTGCATCTAGACTGTATCAGCCTGCATCAAAACTAAAAGCTTGCTACAGCATCTGGATATTTACATCACAACCAATGTAGCTTTGAAGCCGTTGATTCCAGAGAGGCACTCAGGAGTGAGATTTTTCAACCCCCTTAGCATTTTTCATGAGCGTATCAGTGTGAATAGATTTGAGAGACAAAAGCTGGTCAGGGAGCTTGGAACTGCTTTATAGCAAAGTTTATTTTACAAAACATTGTCAGATTTGTTTTTCAACTTTTTGTTAAGGTAGAAACACTGGAGTCATTGGTGCTGCTGTGGCTAAGATTCTGGGAGGAAGGGGAAATGAGAAGGAACAAACCTGGAATTCCTGTATTAGTGCCAATATTTTGTGTCTTCAAAGTTTCAGCT